GTCTGATGTCGGGCGAGGCCCGATGTAGTGGGCGGGGCCCAAGCTAGTCCCGGACTTCGATCCGATGCTGGGCGGGGCCCGATGTAGTGGGCGGGGCCCAATATTTGCTTATATGTCATTGTATAGTATGTGGTAGTTTGGGTGATCTCACAAAGCTTCGTGCTTACAGTTTATGTTTTTGGTTTCAGGTACTTCCGCTAGTAAGGGGAAGAGCTCGGGATGATAGCATCGCACACACCACTGTTTCAATTTTTTTTATCTTGATAGTTTTCATCAGAAACTGTGATATGTTTTGATACAGTTGTTATGTTATATTTGTTATGATCTTTTGGGATACTTGTTCCGTAGTTTTTGTTGGTATGTTGTCGATGATGTGATTATTAGTATTATTAAAACAAGAATTTTGGGTCATATTTTGAGATGTTACAATATACAATTACAAAGTTCAATAACAAACATACATTTTTTTCTTAAGGCCTAAGACTACATTACATTCACTAAAGAAAATATTGAATTTTCTGGAGGAACATACTATCGTTTTTCAAAGAACAAAGACAAGCTTTCCATCATAAAAACATACTTATGAACTCGCCAACTTAAATGTTGATACACTTTTAAAATCACTTGTATTCTCAGGGAACCGGTAGACAAGTACATTGCAGGTTTTTAAGAAGACGGAGCATTCATGGTGCCTCGTCTATAGTTTTGCTATACATTTTGATGTTATACAAATAATGTTGCAAATACAATGTAAACACTTTATTATTAATGCAATTGTAACATCCCAAAAATTATGGGCCAAAAATTTCATTTTTAATTAAGCGATTTGCAAAACGTTTGTAACAAAACATCATACGATAATAACTGTTAATAAAACATGTCTCGTGACCGAAAACCAAAACGTAAAACATAATATTGTCAGAGTACAAAATCCGAGAATGACTCATGATGCGGAAAACAAAAGCGTGTGTGTGATGTGCCGCTACCGCGCCAGCTCCTTCCCCTTGACAGAAGAGGTACCTGAAACAACAATCGAAAATCGTAAGCACGAAGCTTAGTGAATTCCCCCATTGTACCACATACCATATAACCACATAACATACATATATTGTCAGGCATATCTGGGTGCCCGACCTATCCCTTCGGTCCTCTCGACCGGGTACTGACTAACATATCTGGGTGTTGGTCTCCCCTTCGGTCCTTTCGACCGGATACTGACTAGCATATTTGGCTGCTAGTCTCCCCTTCGGTCCTCTCAACCGGATACTGATGACTATTACCCCTACTACCACCACACAACACATATCACATAATCTACCTAGCATGGCTGGGCATAACTGACCCTTCGGCCCTATCGACCGGTAAACTGGGGACTATCTCCCCTACTGTCACTAGCACATATCATCATATCATACTAGTACATAAACATACTACATTTAGTAGCAACCCTAGATGAATATTACAGAGACAATCATCTAACATACAACTCCTACTGGTGGGCCAGCATTGTGGCCGTAGACCCACCGCTACTGGAAGGTAACTTACCTCGTAGTAGTTGTTGATCTGTGTGGGAATTGTCTGTCTGCTGCTGCGGCTGCTCCGGAAATCCTCCGGCTGTAATTTCCCATAAAACACTCAATCAAACACTGCTAACTGCCATTGGGGTAAAATGACCATTTTACCTCTGACCAAGTCAAAGTCAAAGTCAACTACCTGACTCGCCGAGTTGGCTCGCCAACTCGCCGAGTCCCTATCCTTCCCATTTGTCCTCATACCCAACTCTACTCGTTGAGTTAGGCGATGAATCGATGAGTTATCCTTCTAACTGATGACCAATGATCCTTCATTCGACTCGCCGAGTTGTATGAACAACTCGTCGAGTTCGTCTTCATCCGAAGAACACTCTAGCCTGTGACTCGTCGAGTTGTATGAACAACTCGTCGAGTCTGTTCTTGAGGTAAGAAGATTGCCTTGGACTCGCCGAGTCAGGGCATTGACTCGCCGAGTCCCTCCATAGATGAGTCTGGCTTCCGACTAGGAATGGCAATGGGGCGGGTTCGGGGCGGGGCATGGATTCCCAAACCCGCCCCGATAACTTTCGGGTATCTTATCGGGGCGCCCCATTGGGTTTCGGGTTTCCCCGTCGGGTTTCGGGTATCTTATCGGGTTTACAACAAGTGATAATGAAATCTTTATTCTCTTTTAGGATACCCCAATGTCTTATAAAATATACATGTTCTAGCAACTCTTTTAAATTAAAAACATGATGCATCACTTTAATAAAATAAACTGGACGTTATATAAAAAATTATTTGATTTAAGTTTTGTTTAATGCGTCAAAACACATAAAAATGATCATTAACACAAGATTGTTAATAACTAAAAAAATTGTCCACGATAAGTATTTTATATTTGAACATGTACAATTAACAACAAATTTTTTAGAACATATTATATATATATATATATATATATATATATATATATATATATATATATATATATATAATCGGGGCGGGGCGGGTCGGGGCGAGGATAACCCACTCCCTGCCCCGAACCCGATAAAAAACCCGATAACGACCCGTTACCCGACCCGAAATGATCGGGTTTCGGGTTTTCCCATCGGGTTCGGGGTTTTTTGCCATCCCTACTTCCGACTCACTGAGTCCACCCATGACTCACAACTCCACTCAGCAAACACGAAAAAAGGGGAAAACTCGGGGACTCACGACTTGACTCGCCGAGTCCGATGAATGACTCGCCGAGTCGTTCACATGCAATTACTATATACTCGATTTTGCTTGAATATAGCTCATGCCATACATATATCTGAGTTCTTAGGGTAGGTTTTACACGTAAATTTTCCAACTTTACGTGTATACATGCATAGAATGGGGATTTAAGGCCAAATAAGGGCTAAAATGGTAGATCTAGAACATTCAAGCAATATGCTCCCATAAAGGCCCTGGATCCGAGCTTCTGGAGCTCAAACATGCTTAGATCTAGAGGTTACACAACTCATTACAAACCCTAATCCATACCCAAGCTTGGAAATGGTTCAAGAAGGACCTTAATGGTGCCCTAAGGGACTTTAAGCATAAAAACAGAAGGAACTGAGTTATACCTCAATGAATCACTGAAATATCACCAAGATATTCGACCTCCTTCTTCTCCTCTTGATATACTCTTATTCTTTTCTCAAAATCTTCAAGAAATCACACCAAAACACTTAATTTCACAAGAAAAAGGGGTTAGGACGATATAGGGAGCTCTGAGGGTGAAGGAGTTGGGCTTGGGGCGCATAAGGTTGGTTTAAATAGGGTTTCATCCAGACAGCGGGGACTCGCCGAGTCGCCAAGTTAAACGTGATCAGAGTCCCGTCACTACTCGGCGAGTCGGGCCTACAACTCACCGAGTCCAAGGGTAAAAATTTAAACCACTTAGATAGATTATACGTACCAGGAACCAGGTGCTACAACAATGGTTGTTGTTTACTTTGATTATTACTATACGATTTGTTGTGATATTGTATATGACGTCCTCCGCTCCCGAACGTTTCCGCCGTTCCGGTTTGGGGGTGTGACAATATATTGAAAATTCAACATGTATGTTCTCCGGGTCTTCGGCCTGACTGGTCCGCCCCATTGGGCTTCAGCCTATCCGGGGGCCCCAGGGTCTGTTAGCCTAGAGCACAAAGTAGGACCGCCTCAACCACTCACAATCACATAGTAACACATAAATATCAATCGCTAGCTAGCACATGTAATAATCATATAGGCCTATCAGGTCATCAAACCAAAGTATCATCCTATACACTAGGATACATATTTAACATATCATCAAAACATAGCATCATCCTATACATTAGGATACAAATCTAACAGATCACTATGCATAACATCATACAATAACCAAGATACAGTCCAAAGGGGCCGACCTTGGTGTCATAGACCCTGTCAGTATAGTGAGAAGAACTCACCTCACAAGTAGCACTAAATGATACGGTCAATCTCCCAAAACATGGCTCCAAACTCAACTTCCTACAATCACCATGATACCAATCTTCATTAAAATTCCAGAATACCAAAAATACCCTTAAAGTCAAACTTTGTCAACCATGATCAAAGTCAACAGTTAATAATCAAGGTCAACTGTTCATGTTGACCAACCATAAGAAAGCTAAGGATAAATTACATAGATGATCCCTATGGTTTAGGGTAATCTGCGTATTTGATCAATGACAATTTTTTTTTTTTTTTTTAAATCGGACTATCCATATTTTATATTTTTGTTACACATTTGGTTCTTATCCGTTCTAAAAAATCCGATTTACCCTTACCGATTTCTTTTATATTTTTAAATTAGCAATTAATTAAAAAAATATTAATTAAATGTGAACTGATATTATCTAAACCATACCCCCTCATTTCACAAATATGAGAAATGCATACATTTCCTCATTTTCTTCATCGTCAATACCTCTTATCCATTTCCTATTCATGCACTCGACCACTAGCCGCCATTGTTACTGTCAACACCACCCCACCGCTAATGTAACATCCAAATTTTCAGGTATCATAATTTAAGTATTTGTTTTTGAGATGAGAAGAGGGACTCGACGAGTTGGCGCCTAAACTCGTCGAGTAAGATCGCGACTGATGACTCGGATTAATGAATGGACTCGACGAGTTGAAGAGTCAACTCTACAGATTACCTTTAAAAAATATAAAAGAAACAGGGTAAACCGTTTTTTTTAGAATTGATAGAAACCAAAAATACAATAAAAATTTAAAGTAAGAATAAAAAAATTTATTAAAAACCCAGCAGGTAGATTACCTTTAAACCATAGGACCAACAATATAATTTACCTAAAAATTAATAAAGATATAAACTAAATAATTTTCGGATTTACAAATCTAAAAGAATCAAAATATGAAGTAAATAACTTTAAAATGTTGTTTTATATTTTTAGAAACATCATAATTAATTTACCAAGCATTTATTGATCAGACATTTATTAGAACAAATTACAAATGTATTTGTTGGGTTGTTGTAACGAAGATGGTCTTCAGACTCGGTTCCCATTTCCCTTGATCCTGGCCTAGGTATTTCTTACAGACGCTTTTTCTTTCTTCTGTTCACCTAAATTCCCTCGTCCGTGATCCGATCAGTGATATTCAACTTCAGGTATGTCCATCAAATTGGTATCGTCTCACTTGATTCAGTCTAATAATTCCAGATCTTATCGAATTCACATGTGATCTTGATAAACGCCATCGATTGTAATTTCTATTTAGTATTGGATTATGGTTTTTGTTCATTGTTGACGATTGATACGTAAAAACTGGATCTTTATCCGTTGCAGTGTGAAATCGTCGAGGAATTTTGAGCATCCATATACAAACCGGGATTTGATATTTGGGATCGTGTAAATGGCAACTCCCGGTGGACCTCGACCAGGCAATCCACCGCCTAATTATAACCCTAATTCAATTGCTGATAATATGCAAAACCTTCAAATCAATCGCCCTAACATGCCTCCCAATTCAGCTGGTGGACCTAGAGGTCCACCTCCTCCGTTTGGTCAACAACCATTCCCTTCATCAGCTCCATTTTCATCGTCTCCATTTTCAGGACCTTCTCGTCCAGGACCCCCTCCTCCAGGTGTTGTTCCCAGGGGTGCAGTGCCACCGCCTACTGGACCCCCACAAGGTGCATTGCCTCCTTTCATGGCTTCCAACCGACCTCCTGGTAGTAACCCCCCTCCTCCATTTGCTTCAAGGCCTATGACTTCTGGACCCTTGCCTTCTTCAACAATGAGTTCTCGTCCTGGTCCTTTTGCATCCTCCCCTTTGTCAACTGGTATGCCTGTGCCACCACTAGGCGGTGGTCCTCCGAGCAATGGCCCACCAGCATTTGGACCAGGTGGTATGCAAGGCGGTGGTCCTCTGTTCCCTCCATCTGGTGTTAGACCAAGACCATCTTCTGGACCTCCACCTTCTCTACCAACCATGGGTGGTCCCTTTTCCGGCCAAACAACACAAACTCCTGGAAGTCCGCCTGATTATCAACAAAGAGGGCCAGGTTCACTAGCACCACCACCATTTTCAACAGCTCAGAGAGGACCTCCAACGTTTTCAGCTCAGGGTCAACCACAAGCTTCTCCTTTTGGGGCTCAACCATGGCAAATGCAACCTCCACCAATGTCTGGTTCTAGTCAACCACCAAGAATGTTTGGCATGCCACCACCACTTCCCAATCAACAATCACTGGCCACAATCTCACCTGCCATGGGTGCTGGTGTAGGTGCAGTTACAGGACCATCAAAGATTGACCCTAACCAAATCCCTCGCCCTATTCCAAATTCCTCTGTGCTTATTCATGAAACTCGACAGGGAAACCAGGCAAATCCTCCACCGGTATTTCACCTTTTTCTTTTAAATTTTCTTCTCAATATTTCCATCAGTGTGTTCTATGTTTATATATCTGGCTTGTTTCTTTTGAAGCCTGCTACAAGCGAGTTCATTGTAAGGGATACTGGAAACTGCAGTCCACGATACATGAGGTGTACCATCAACCAGGTGATATATTATATATATTATATATATTTCTTCTTATATACTTTGTGTTTGAACTTTGAACATGTTGGTTGCTTAGTTTAATGTGGGATTCTTTGTTGTTTCAGATTGCTTGCACAACCGATCTTTTGAACACATCTGGGATGCAGTTGGCTTTGTTGGTCCAGCCTTTGGCTCTCCCTCATCCATCTGAAGAGCCCATCCAAGTAAATCATAAAGATCTTTTTCTTCTTATATAATGTCATAATCATCAAATTATAATGCTTGATTGTCTTTGATACACATATAAGATCCAAATGTTCATCATATAATGAAATCTAGCACGAAAATGCAGTTTATCAAAACTAGGGTGAGGTCACATTTTATACCATGAAGCGTCAAACATGAATACTATTATTATTATTATATATATTTATATGTATAGTTGTCAAATTGTAAATGTTAATATTTCCAGATAGTGGATTTTGGTGAAAGTGGTCCTGTTCGCTGTTCTCGTTGCAAAGGCTATATCAATCCGTTCATGAAGTTTGTTGATCAAGGAAGACGTTTTATCTGTAACTTCTGTGGTGAGTATTTATATTTTTAATTTGGGAACACACAAAAACAAAATAAATAAAATAAAAACATTAACACTTTATTATCTTCTCTTTTGCAGGTTTCACTGATGAAACTCCCCGTGAGTATCAGTGCAATTTAGGCCCAGATGGCAGAAGAAGAGATGCTGATGAAAGACCTGAGCTTTGTAGAGGCACAGTTGAATTTGTTGCTACAAAGGAATTTATGGTTTGTATTTGAACAAAATATATATATATATATATATATATATATATATATATATATATATATATATCTTTGAACCAAATAATACAGTTTTTTGATTTATAACATGTTGATTTCACTTTTTTCCAGGTGCGGGACCCGATGCCAGCTGTCTTTTTCTTCCTCATTGATGTGTCTATGAACGCCATACAGACTGGTGCTACAGCTGGAGCTTGCAGTGCTATCAGCCGAGTTATTTCTGATCTTCCAGTAAGTTTCTTACTCTTTATTTCTTTATTTATTTGTTTATAATCATCGATTGTTGGTCTAATTTTTTGATTAATAATAATCTGGTGCAGGAGGGTCCACGGACTATGGTGGGAATTGCTACATTTGACTCCACCATCCATTTTTACAACCTCAAACGCGCATTACAGCAGGTTTATACAATTTCAGATAACTTTAAATTTCCAAGTTTAGTTATGATTACTAATATTCTTGATTTTATTTATGCAGCCGTTAATGCTCATAGTTCCTGATGTACAAGATGTATACACTCCTCTTCAAACTGATGTTATTGTTCAACTTTCTGAGGTTAGTCATGAAAAATCTACTTTTTAATTTACAAGAAGTTTTTATTCTAATATTAAATATTTTTTATTTGATGCAACAGTGTCGTCAGCATCTAGATCTGCTTCTAGAAAGCATCCCAACTATGTTTCAGAATAATAAAACAGCAGATTCAGCTTTTGGTGCTGGAATCAAGGCTGCTTTTATGGCAATGAAGAGCACTGGAGGCAAACTTTTGGTATTTCAATCAGGCAAGCTAATGAAAATTTCTCATTATATATTTTATACATTTTTAAAATATGAAATTTGAGTAATTATTATTATTATTATTATTATTATTATTATTATTATTATTATTATTATTATTATATTTCAGTTCTGCCTTCTGTTGGTATTGCTGCACTTTCTGCTAGAGAAGCTGAAGGAAGAACTAATATATCTGCAGGCGAGAAGGTATATATAAATATATGTTGAAATTACAACTATGACACTGAGAAAACCATGTTTATATAAAAAATGTTATCGTTTATTATTAAATAAATTTCAGGAACCTCATAAACTACTCCAACCAGTAGACAAGACTTTAAAGACAATGGCGATTGAGTTTGCTGAGTACCAGGTGAAGCTTCCTTAATCTTATAAAGAAAACCTTTTAGTTAATTCTCTACATATGCTTTCTTTTTTTATTTCTAAAACTTATTTTGATAATATTGACAGGTTTCTGTTGATGTATTTATAACGACCCAAAGTTATGTAGACATTGCTTCAATCTCTGTGATCCCAAGAACAACAGGAGGACAGCTGTACTATTATCACCCGTTTTCAGCTCTTTCAGATCCTGCAAAACTTTACAATGATCTTCGATGGAATGTCACAAGGCCACAAGGCTTTGAAGCTGTGATGCGTGTTAGATCTAGTCAGGGTCTTCAAGTTCAAGAATATTCCGGAAACTTCTGTAAACGCATCCCCACAGATGTTGATCTCCCTGCGGTTTGTCTTTCTCCTCTTCCGGAAACTTCCACTGCTTCACTTTTCACTTTATTTTTTTTTTCTAACTAAAGCACTAAACTTTTATTATTATTATTATTATTTTTTTCAGATTGATTGTGACAAAACCATCATGGTGACTCTGAAACATGATGACAAACTGCAGGATGGAACAGAATGTTCTTTTCAGGTATCCCATTTGTCTTAACTTAATGACTTAATAATAATGAAGTTTATATTTTCTCATCCACTTAAATGGTTATTGTATGTTTATATTTTTGCTTAGTGTGCACTTCTTTATACAACTGTTTATGGACAAAGAAGAATACGTGTGTCTACATTGTCATTGCCATGCACAACCATGTTGAGCAATCTCTTCCGCTCAGCTGACTTGGATACACAATTTTCATGTTTTCTAAAGCAAGGTAATTAATTAACTAACTTATTGATTCTTGCTTACTTAATACTTACATATTATTATTACTGATTTCATTATTTATTTTTTTTTATATATATTTTCTACAGCTGCAAATGAGATCCTTGCAAATCCGTTATTACATGTAAGGGAGCAAGTCACAAATCTTTGCATCAATATTCTTCACGCGTATCGCAAGTTTTGTGCCACTGTGTCTTCATCAGGACAGCTTATTCTTCCGGAAGCACTCAAATTGTTACCTTTGTACACTCTCGGTATGTGTTTTTTTTCCAACAACATTCTAGGTTGTTTTTTTTTTTTTATTTGTCTTTTTTTGATATATATATTTTTTGTTTCATTTTAGCTTTGATTAAAAGTATTGGATTGCGGACGGATGGGCGGATAGACGAGCGGTCATTCTGGATCAATTATGTATTCCCGCTTTCGGCGCAATTGGCGGTTCCGCTTGTGTACCCTAGAATGATAAGTGTTCACGACCTTAATTCAAAGGTAAAGGGTAAAATTGTCTTTTAAGATTCTCTTATACGATGTCTTACTTGATTTTTTTGTTTGTTTGTTTGTGAGGTTACAGGAAACAGATGGATCTGTGATTCCGGTTGCTATTCCTCTATCGAGTGAGCAAGTGAATGAGAATGGAATTTATCTTCTTGAAAATGGGGAGGATTGTTTAATTTATATTGGAAGCTCTGCAGATCCTGATACAACAAGACAACTGTTTGGCATTTCTTCTGTTGATGAGATTCCCAGTCAGGTATGACATATCGCAATTCAGGAAGGAATGGAATGATTCATTCCATTGACCAAGTGTAGCATGTACTTTTTTGATCAATGTTTTATAAAGAAGGTATTGATAACTTTTTTTTTCTTCTTCAGTTTGTGTTGCAGCAATACGATAATCCTTTGTCAAAGAAGCTTAATGAGGTCATAAATGAGATTAGGAGCCAAAGATGCAATTATCTTCGGTATGTATATTGTTTTTTGTTGCACTTATTGAATAGTCATTCAATCATTTTTTTGGTTAATGGGAATAACTTTTATGTTGCTCATTTTGGTTCTTAACAAAATTTTTTATTTCTTGCAGCTTAAAATTATGCAAGAAAGGAGATCCATCAGGTAGCTTTTCTTTCTTTTTTTCTTTCTGCATTAAGTCAAAGAAACACTGATAATAATAATGATAATGATTTTGTTTTTGTTCAGGGGTGTTGTTCTTCTCGTACATGGTGGAAGACAAGTCTCCAAATGGTCTCTCATATGTTGAGTTCTTAGTGCATGTTCATCGACAAATTCAAAGCAAAATGAATTAAGTGTTTGATTGAGTTTTGTTTACAAGTAAGTGTTATGATACTTTTTTCGCGTGCACAAATATGATATGGGACTCGAGATTAAAAAAAAAAAAAGGAAGCAAAGCTCCAAGGGTGTTAAAAATGCGGCTTTTGTTGAAAACTAGGTGAGCCGAGTTTCAAATTTTTATAGGACTTTTGGTTTCTTTTTTGTAGCTTATTATTTGATGTTCGTTGTGAACTTGTAGCATCGAATAAATAGTTTGGTTTGATTTGTACTTTTTTTGTTTTCTTGTTAAAGCGATAGAGCTACTTTTGTTTACTAAAGTTACAATGTTCGTAAAATATGAAACGTTATTTACCCTTTACCATCTTTACAAATTATTGGTGTAGTAGAACCTACTTTTTTCACCATAAGAAAATTACAATATTCTTTGCTACAACCTTAGAAATTGGGATCACATGGTGTTTATCTAACAGAGGATTTTGGACGCTAGAATGGTCTCAAGGTGCTACAGCCTCTTTTCCTTGTGTTTTCTTGTTTGATCCTCAATTTTTATTGTCTTACGTTGTTACCTAAGTTTAGCATTTGTCGTTAATATATGCTTCATGTTTCAATGCTAGTCTCAATGTTTTAAAACCCGGGTTTTTAGTTGACCCGGTGTGATGGCCGGTTCACGGGTGAACCGGTTCAACCGACGGGTCAACCTGGTTTATGGTCTTTTTCAATTTTTATATATTTTTATTTTACTGCATAATATATAAACATATAAAACCAAATTATTTGATGTACACAAAATTTAAACATTAAAAACATTAAAAAAACCGCAAACGACTCGTTATTTTAATGTTCGCTACTTGTATCCAACTATCCAAACTCTATTAAAATGGGTCAATCCGGTTTTAACCGGTTCAACATAAACGGTCCAACCGTGGTTCACGGGAAACCTGGCCGGTTCGATCTTGTTCGTATTTTTACAAAAAACCGTTCTCCATTGACCCGCCTTCTACCCCGGATCACGGTCCAACCGGTTGAACCGGCCGGGTCAACCCGGGTTTTAAAACATTGGCTAGTCTTTTCTTGCGTCTATTTATGTATTCGTGCAATGTTCACCTATTTTCCTTATATCTCATTTACTTCTCTATTTATTTCTTCAATCAATATGACCTTCCATCCTTTTTTTTGCCTTGTACTTGGCCTGTAGATCATCATTCCAAAGTAGGATATCTCCCATTTACCCGATTCTCATGGGAGTGAGTTTTTGCGATTAGTATTGTTTTGCTACAATTTTAGATATCAAAGCAAAATCATCGAAGCTTCCGAAAATAAACGTTTTGAAATCCTTCGTCATTACAACATATGATGAGATTTATGAGTGCCTTTCTAAATCGTTGTATTACAACATATAATCATAATCAAAATGTAAAAAAATGACAAATTAATTGTAAGGGTATATAGTTTAGGTTTTTCAGATTTACTATGGATGAACACGATTCACATCTGCTCACAAAACACATACACACATATTCACGATTTTTTAGAGCTGTAAACACACACATCTTCACGATTTCCAGATGTGTGTTTGTTGTTGATTCATCAGAATCTTGGTTTGTTCTTGGCTTCTTGCGTACACATGATTTCCATATCTGCTCACAAACACACATTCGAGTGTGTGTATGTATGTATTGATCTGTTCGTAAGTGTATCTTGATTGTTGAAAGAACAAACTCACTGGAGTATGTGTGTTCTGATGTGCCAAGAACTAATTGGAAAAATCACATTGGCCGAAGACTCACCGAAGAAAACAACCGGAGCTACCAGAGATTCCAGAAACCGGCTAAAACCTACACCAACAGGTCATAAGGAATATGAACAGTCGGATCAAGTTTAATGGTAATATGTGGACAAAAAAAATACAAAGCACTAAATATAAACAAAACCTAATCTGTGTTACAAATATAAGTTATTATCCCAAAAAAAAAACCATGTGGACAAAAAAAATACAAAGCAGTAATTATAAACAAAACCTAATCTGTGTTACCAATATAAGTTATTATCCCAAAAAAAAAATCCATGAGAACACCGTGTTACCAATATAAGTTATTATCCAAAAAAATAGCCCCATGAGAATGCCAATTTAAACGAAAAAAAAACATGAGACTGAAAAGACCTTCCATTAATTTATCAAGTTTGCTGATAACCTACAATGGTTACAGTTTATGAGAATTACATGCTTAAAGCATAGAAAAGTTAGTAAAAATAAAAGAGTATTAAGTCTATAATAATAACTTATTATGATTACTCATTTTAAATAAAAAACTAAAGCAAAACAACAGCATACTTATGACCATAACTCATGTCCAACAACTATTTTTAACTGTTAATTGTGATGCAGTTCAACAATCATAAAAATGTATTTCTAGTATACAACTACCAACAAAAACAAAACAAAACAAAACTTGAGAATTTGATTCATATTTCACCTACACTTTTGTAATCCCATTCTCACGAATAAGATCCTCCTTTCTTTGATAAATCGGCAATGCTAATGAATCAAAAAACTTCAAATGAAACGATTTCACCCCCACCCATTTCTTAGGCACCACCTCCACCACTCCACCGACGGCAGCCACCACATTATCAACAATCTCCTCCACATCCATTCCTTCAAATTTACCAACTTTCACCACGCTACAAGTCCCTTTACTTAACCACAACAAAGAACAACAAAACCCCATTTCAATCTCCTCTTTCCAATCGCCATCTCGCTTTAATTCCACCGGCACCGGAATCTTTCTCTTGTTCTTGTAGAACACTTTGCCCAATATCCCCGGCAGCATGTCGATTACTCGCCGGTCAGCCAAGAAGATATCGAATGAGTTTAATAGTTCCATTTTTGATTCAAAGGATCTGTAATCTGATTTGAGCTTGGATAGTTTCAGGATTTTCGAGATAGGTATGCCTAAAGATTTGATTTTTTTGTCGGCGAATTCGACAGTTAGTTTCTGGGAGTTGGGTTTTGGCCGGTCGTCGATTATGAGACAACTGCGGGAGAATTCCGGCGAGGTTTGTAGAGAGTGGGGAATGGGTATTTTGTTAGGGCTTTTGGTGAAGTCTTTGTTTGGGATTTTCTTGAGAGTTAAGAGAAGGTAGATGAAATCATCAACGTCGCCAGAAATCGGCTCTTTCTGATCGGAGACTTGCTTTCTTTTCCATTTAATCAAAGAGATGAGAGCTTTCCTGACTGTATCTCTAGGGATTCTCTGTTTCGATTGATTGTCGCCGGAGGTAACTGGAGCCATGCGTAGTATAGAACTCGGTAGTTCTTTCCGGCGCCGCAGGGGTAGGGTTATGGTGGGTTTTGCAACGTATCAACTCTTTGACGTCTTTTTTAAACAGAAAAGATGTTATATTGTGAAAGACCATAATACCCTCGAACAGTGGAAAAAAAACACACACACACATCAACTTAAACATCTCCAACCTAAAAACAAATTTTCATCAAATTTGATGTTAAATTTCTCCAATTCAATATAAATTTTCACATAACATTGATGTGGATGAATTGGCTCCTCTAACATTAATTTGAGAAATTAAATATCCTTCTATTTTTTTTTAATAGGTAATCCATCACCCTTTATCCTTTGTTTATTCCCATATATATATATATATATATATATATATATATATATATATATATATATATATATATATATATATATATATATATATATATATATATATATATATATATATATATTAAGTTACAACTAAAAGTTATAAATTTTAATAAGAGGGTTATGGTGGGGTTTAGTTATTACTATTATATTTATAATGATGGTGATGAAACCAAACTTTTTTACGGAGAATTAAAAAGTTTTTGACAAATGTTTCTGATTTGTTGGTACATAATAGTAATTGCTTCTTTTAAGATCTTTCAATGAAATAGTTTAAATTGGAGAATTAAAAAGTTTTTGAAAAATGTTTCTGACTTGTTGGTACATAATAGTAATTGTTTCTTTTAAGACCTTTTAATGAAATAGTTTAAATTGTAGGTAGATTGGTTTTAATATTGAATTTACGATGATAAATGAATATTAACGAAGACTTGTGACTATGAATATTTATAGTAATATTTACGATAATACATGATCAACAATTGCTTATAAATGATACCAAAATTTTTATACGAAAAATTAAAATTTTTTGAAACATGAAATGTAAATTTTGCTTCTTTGTACATAGATAATTGTATTAAACATTCTTTGTACATAGTCATAATTGAATTAAACATTCTTACAACAATTGTTTCAATTGTTGATGGATTGAGTAATAATGATGACTTTTGCATAAGAGTTTTTATGAACATATATTTAAAAGATATATTCATTATCATGTTTATGATGTTGCATGTGCATATATTTATATGAACGAAAAATTTGTTCTTTCGATGGCGGAAGGAATGACGCAAGCCATGATTAAGATTAAGAAACACTCTTAGGGAGGGGGGGGGATTTAAAAGATTTTTTTTTTTCCTACATATCTTCCTACCCAATTAAATAATGATATATATAATATTTATGACATGCATAATATTTGATACTCATTTAATAAAATTTTAATATATTAATATGACAAATGTCATTATTCAATTTGGTAGGATAATAATTGGGTAGGATGATCAAATACTATGTATTTTGATGAATTAATTATGTTTTGTGATTAAAAATACTTATTAAAAACTACTTTATGTTTTACAAAACCATCACCTTGGTGGCTTACAATATAAAATTTCTGAAAGGGGCTGTTTTATCATCCCAAGCTTAATTGTAGTATTTGATCAACCTAGTAATATAATTTCATTAAACTGTTTTGACAAATCAACCTCTACTACATTTTAGAGCATAGAAAATTAGAAATCACAAGATTTTTTCCACACCAAAAAAAGATTTTAAAAAAATGACTTGGTCAATTGGATCATGTAAACAACATTCCACAATCTTTTCCTATGCTCAATACACAT